ATTTCACTCCCTCATACCCTCATTCATATTTCAGTGGCTTTTGATAGCTCCATCATATCAGAGTTTATTATCAGTCATATTTGTGTCTGATTTTGAAGCCTTTAACCAGCCTTCACATTAAACACTGTGTCATTGAGAAATAAAGTTTGTGCTCAAGAGCAGATTTTCTCTCTCTCTCTCTCTCTCTCTCTCTCTCTCTCTTCCTTCCTTCCTTCCTTAAAATGTGAGTTTAGTTTCTGAGCCTGTAATATCTTCAAAACCAAAACTGCAATTAGAATTTGGTTTGTGTTCTCTTTTATGCATAAAAGCATGTTTAACTTAAAGCACCAGTTCCACATTTAGAAAGTACATCAAAGCAGGGTGGTCTACCTGGCAAGCCAGTGATGTACACAGTGTCTGGTTTACGTGTTTGTATGTATTTTTTGCTATAAAGAAATAGAAACAAGAATTTCCACTTGTGTGTTTCTTTTAAGTTTTATGTTTTGCTGTCAGATTGACGGCATCTCTGAATTTTCGGCTGTTCAGTGAGTTTCAGATTGGTTTAAGCCATTATTGATTTGGAGTACATCTTTACAGAAATGCAAATAATGTTACTGTCTGACTGTTTGAGACAGTGAGCAGTTTCAGTTTGTACTTTATTATGCGGTTGTTCACCTTGGTGCATGCTTCGTTAATCTGTTTCCATATTGATGTTTCAGTGAGGTCTGCGTCAGCTGTGTGTCTTTTGAATGCAGGCACCGTTTCCTGGCCACTGGCTACACCACAACTTAAGTATAGCTTTGCTTTGATAAAAATGTTCCTTCTAGTATCCCTCTGGGACATCCATTCTTCAGTTGCCTTTAGCAGCTCTGCTTCAGAGTATGATGAATGCAAGAAGTATGTATTATTATCTGGATAAAACCCAGAATGAAACGGACATGAAAAAGGCCTGGCATTCTCTAGCAAGTAAATTAATAGGTCAGAGAACATGGTAGGTCAGGAGAGTCAGGCTCCAGTTCCGGTAGGCCACACCTCTGCATTCCACCTCTTTTAGCACATCTGATGCAATTAATCAGATAATTAGAATGACTTTCATGAGTTGAATTCAGTGTTAGAAGAGGGAAATTGCAAATGTCTGCAGAGCTGTGATCCTCCAGGACCAGATTTTGAACCCTGGGGTTAAAGATTAGATAAGATGAGAGACTTAATGATGATTATGATGATGATGATGATGATGATGATGATGATGATGATGATAATGATGATAATAATAATAATAATAATAATAATGAAATAGCATTTTTCATACCAATGCCAGCTCAAAGTGCTTTATAGTCAGGTGATAAAGCTTAACAGTAATAGGAAAAACTCAGTATTAATGTGAAATCATATAAGACAATGACACAGATCAAATTAAAAAGATAAATACCAAAGAGACGTATAATTTTAAGGAATTGCTAAGCGAAAGGGATGTGTCCTAAAAGTGTGCACTGAGCTTCACTGTCTAATTAAAGGTGGAATTAAGTTCCACAGTTAAGATGCGTAATAACCCAAAGAGGCCTCCCCACCTTTCCTGTATTTTACAGAAGGCCAGTATCTGTAGATCTAAGATCACACATTGGAACATAAACAAACAGATATTCCATGATGTAAGCAGGTACTAGTTCTGCTGCATTTTGTTGTAGAGGATGTATTGCTTTCTTAGGAAGTCCAATAAGAAGAGCATTACAGTAATCAACTCTGCTTGTAACAAATGCGTGAACAAATTTCTCTACGTCACTCTGAAAAAAAGGCTAAACTAGCGATATTTTTTGAATGATGAAAAGCTGCTTTAATGACGTTTACATGTGAAATAAAACAGAGCTCAGAGTCGAAGCTTACACCCAGGTTTCGTACTTCAGGTTTGGTATACAAAGCTAAAGAACCAATCTCCTCGTAAAGCATTTTTCTCTGAGTTTTAGTACCAAAGATTAGTATTTAATGTTTTTTCATGATTTAGTTGTAGAAAATTGTCCTCTGAGAAATATCTGACACACAGCTGGTAAGCCTGTCAACAGAGTCTTGATTGTCAAAAGGAATGGAAATATGTAATTGTGTGTCATCAGCATAGCTATTAAAATTGATATCATACTTCCTAATGACATCAGGTAGAGGTAACATGTACAAAGAGAAAAGCAAAGTCCCTGTAATTGAATCTTGTGGGACTCCACAAGAAATTTTACTTTTTTTTTGATGAATGGTTTACCAGTGAAATCAAGAACTATCTGTTCATTAAATATTTAAACCATACCAAGTAGTCAAGACGGTAAACTAGAATCTTGTGGTCAACAGTATCAAAAACTAAGATCAAATAAAATCAAAATATAAGTATTTTTTGCATCAGTGCTAGGCCTGAGGTCATTGACAACACAAACCAAAGCTGTCTCAGTACTGTGGTCAGAACAGAAACCTGAAAAACTTTTCAGATAATTTGTTTAATATTAGATACACATTTGATTGTTTGAAAACAACTTTTTCTAAGACTTTACTTAAAAAGGAGGATTAGAAATCAGTATAAAATGATTTTGTACAGAAGGATCCATGCTACTCCTTTTTTAGTAGAAGCTTTACCAGGGCAGTTTTAAAAAGCATCTGAAGAAGCACTTGTTGACAGACAGTAGTTTACAATAGTTTAAACACAATCAATAACCATCTTAAGGAGTAAAGTAGAAACAGGGTCAAAATCACATGTGGACAAGCTTAATTTGTTTATATCAGTTGTAAGCTCCTTATAATTGGTAACAGAGAAATGCCGTTACTGATGTAAGTGGCTTATCAGAAAGGTTATAGGAGCTCGTTTCAGTAGGATGAGCTATGCTCTGTCTTATCAAGCCTATTTTATTTTGGATATGAACTGCAAATTCTTTGCAGGTAATAGAAGGTAAATCACTATTCAACACTAGAAGAAAAGGTCGCGTTACTTGATCAGTCTGTGGTGGAAAAAAGGACTTTGGAACTATCTTTGTTTTAACTCTCGAGAGGTATGACTGATATTTTCGTAGTATTGTAGTGGAGATCTGCTCTTTGAAAATATAACGTACCTGCGGTTTAGTTTTCCTCCATAAGCTCTCTGATTTATGATTTCTCTGGTGTATTTGCTCATTAATCCACAGATGTTTATAAGTATGCAAGTATTTTCTTCCATTTGACTGGTGTGACAATTTCAAGAATTTCCTTTCATGTAGCATTTAGATCAGAGACTGAATCATTACAGGATGGGTTAAATGCAGAGGTGAAATTTCCCCATTGTGTGACTAATAAGGGTCACTTAATCTAATCTAAACTTTTTGACTGTTTCTGAGTCAGTATAATGCTTTGTAAATGATTTTCTGCCCCTTTCTTCCTTACTTCTATATTGACTTGAAAGAATATACAGAAGTTATCTTATAAAAAAGTATTAGAGATTATGGACACGCTTGTTTTTAAACCTTTAGTGATTACCAGATCCAGGATGTGATGTAGCTTGTGAGCAGGGCTGCCCACATGCTGCTTCAGATGTCTCTAGAAGTTGAATTAATTCCATTGCGTTACTGTCTGATGAGTTTATTTAGGGTGACGATTTCCTGTATATTATGTTTCTCTTAGGTTATCCAAGGAAACTTTAATTGTCTTAGCCCAGCTGGAAAGAAATCACAGTAGACAAATGTTTTATGTATAAGTCCAAGAAACTCTTGTATCTGCCAGAGGAGCGCTGTGCGAAGGAAAGATTGAACATCTGGCAACCCTCAAGAATTATGACCAAACATCTGGCAACTCTTAGCTGCCCAAGATGCTTTACTTTGTCTGAGATTACTGTTTGATATTTATGAAGAAAGTTGATTGACAGTACTGAAGGAAATATTGCTATACCTTAGTAGATAACAATGCCTTTAAATGTGTTATTATTAAAAAAGGGGTCTTTGGGTTTAATGTCAAGTTATTTATTTATTTATTTATTTATTTATTTAAATTTAGGATTTGGTCTTGGGGTTGACACACAAAAAAAATATTTTGAATCTTTTTATGTTAACATGATTGAAGATTTGCCTGCATTGTTTTAACCAAAATGAAAACCCTGATTTATCAAAACAGAAACACTCATCTGGAACTGTAATTGATCAAAATGCCCCCAGCATACAGTAAAAAAGCATTGTGATTGGTATGACTGCTCATTTGCATATTGCAGCCTTCTGTGACATACATTTTGCAATAACGATTGCAGCCCTAGGGTCCTCTTAGTTTATATCTCTCAATTCTAAAGTCCTAGGGCCACCAATTTCACTTTATATTGTAAAAGTAACATTTATAGTTTTTAAAATGGCATTAGTCCTAGGCCTGTAATATGTGAATGTTTTTTTTCTTTTATTGCTAGGAATACTGCAAACGCACAGTAATGTTGGTACGACTTTTTGCTCATATCATGTCCCCTGCAGGCTTTTATTAGTAAATCATGCAGAGAGACATGTTTATATAAAGCATGAGAGAAGTGACATTTGGCAGAGAAGAGGGAGCTATTCTTAGCTCATTTCACATGTACAAAAATTGAGAGGAGGATGTTAAAAACTTGCAGCAGAAATACAAAGGTGCTCCCAGCCCTACTGACAGCCAACATCTGGAAAAGTTTGCCAGTAAAGGGTTTTTTTTCCCTTTCTTTTTTCTTTTTTCAATTTTTAATACAAGGCCAAGTACTTGTGTCAGTGTGGAATAATTACGTTTGCTTGGGGGAAAGCAAAAAAGAGTAAAAGTGTATTGTATGTCTGTTTTTTTTTGGACAGGGAAAAATAAATAGCTACCAAAAACGTCATTATGAGAGTGGCGCACTGTGACTTACAATAAAGCGTTTTCCTAACAGCTGAGTTTAATCAGTGCTGGTATGATCCAAAACCATCCAGCTGGGCTGGATGCTTTTCAGTGATGGATAATTGCATTCAATCATTATTATTCCTCATATCTTTTAGATAGAGATTGCTATTTTTCTTACATTCCTGTTTTCTTATCCACAGGTCGTTTTGCTAAGTGGTCATCTGGACAGTTGGGATGTGGGACAGGGGGCTATGGATGATGGAGGTGGAGTTGCTATTTCCTGGGAAGCCTTGTCTCTGATCAAAGATCTGGGTAAGAGGCTTTTAAACACGCAATAGCAGGTGCCTTCTTCTCTTATAATGATAGAAACAGTAATGGAATAGGCTGATGAGCTGTTGTGTGCTAGTCTCAAACATGCAGAATCCTGTGAGCCCAGTGATGATAAATAGAAGTGTCCTTGGGGTGATGAAATTGCCCACCATATTTCTGATCACCCCTGTATCTCCCAGTGCAGTATACTGTCCATTTTCCCAATACATTCATTCCAATGAGTGTTTGGTTAAATGAGTGATATTTTCACACAGACCAAAAACAGAAAGAAACATTACTTGCTGATGGTGCACTTCTCAGCATCTTAAGCAAATTAAGCATATTGATGGGTGTTGTGTGTGCGGAAAACACGTAACATGGTAAAAATAAACATTATCTCTTAGAAGTGAAAACAGTTCCGTTAGCTAGCGTTTCACTAGGTAGCTTGTTTTGTTTGTGCTGTCATTTGTACTGTAGATTTTAAAAGAGGACTGGCTAGAGGAAATTGGGGCAGGTTTGCGACAGATTTCATCGCAGTCCATCAAGTGTGTCAAGTTTCCAGGCATGTATTTTTGTTATGAGATCACATCTGGTCCCGCGAGACTAATTAAACTGTTAATAATGTCATTTTTGTTCCAAAAAAGCTTTAGACAACCCTGTCATTCTTAACTGCACACTTCTTGTTGTAGCCAGTTTATCACACATCCATGATTGGTACAAACTTGCATGTCAGTCCTTGTTCAGTGTTTAAAGATAAGCAGTAACCTATTGTTTCTGACATGAAATAATAGGGATAATAGGGAGAAAAAGTCTATTCATACTATTTATATCTAGCAAATTCTGTGCAACAAAAGTTTATCAAGGAAAAGTGATTCAAAGAGCAACTATTTGAATTGTTGAAAACATTTTTCTCAGACATTTTCTTAAGGGAATTGCACACCACATTACAGAGGCTTAAAATAGAGTAACAAGTAAAATAACACTAGAAGCTTGTTCTTCTTGAAAGTTGGTGTAAGATGTTTTTTTTTTTTTCTTTTTTCAAAGAACATGGCTATGTGAATAAGAGAGGAAGTCAATTTATTTATTATTTTTTTCGTGAACAGGAATTCAAAAGTTGCCCCCTTGAGTTTTGGTTCCTCTTCTTTTTCCTGCCACTGTCACCCTTGGTTTGCTCATTAGAGGTTTGAACCCAGATTTCTGTAAAGCAGCTTTGTGACACTGTTATAAAAGGAGCACTAGAAATAGCACAGAATTGAATACCTATCATTACACCTGAAAGCCTCCTTCTGCAAGTAGTGATGACAATCAGCACCGTGTTTTTTTTTTTGTTTTTTTTTTGTCATCACAAATATCTGTCTACCTGAACATGCTCATAAACTGTCATATTTTGACAAAATGTCCTGATAACTACAGCTGCTTTTAAAGAGGAAAATGGGGCCATTTTACTGGCCAAAGTTGATTCAAACCTTTTGGACAGCCAGAGTTAATTAGGCTAACTGATTTAATCCTTGTAGTTTAGATGGAGATTGTTATACTACTGGCAGAACAGCTTCGGTTCTGGACAGTTTTTGCTACCCTGATCAGATTTGTTGGACCAGAGAATGCTTGAACTTGTAGGGCTGTGGGTCCCTCATATTACTGTTGATCATAAACAGAACTAAATTTGTTGTAGAGATGTAGTGATGTCATACAACACTAATCCTGTGAAATAGTGCTTATTTTCAAGTGAGACCAGAGAGAGTATAGTCCAGAGAGATGATCATAATTATAGTCCAGTTGGTGGGCATGACCTGTTCTGTCCCAGTCTCCACTCTTAGCCTGTTCTTCTACAGTGCTAAGCGTTGACTTTCAATGATAATGCTGTCTAGTTGGGCATGTATGGAGAAAAGCCTGTAAGATATCTGCTAGAGGACAATTTTACACAGTATAAACACAATGCTTTTTACCCTTCTTTTACATAGTTTCTGGATAATGTTTTTGAGATCATATGCAACATGTACAGTACTGTGCAAAAGTCAGAGATCACCCTTCATTTATTTAATTTCCAGTCAAAATGACAATTAAGTACAAGTTATTTATTTTCAGGCGATCTTTCTGAGAAGATGTAGATATGTAGGTAGATAATCCACTTGCAAAAAAAAAGGGGGAAAAAAAATCAGGACTTTCCAAAAGTGTTCAACCTAACAACAATAGCAGTGCAAGACCTTGTAGACTAAAACTCTCACCATCAAATGACCTGAGTCTCAAAGGATGTGTAGCTGTCATGAAGCCATTAATGAGAAAAGGAAATACACAGAAAAGACAATCTGCACTAGAACTCCAAAACTATATCTAGGAGCAACAACATCTTCTAAAACTGAAATTTAGATATGTTTACAAGAAACATGGTAATATATCCATACAGATTTCTCCCTTAAAAACAAAATATGGAGGATGTAAAGAGGGCAAAGATTGAACACACTATATACTGAAAATGTTGATATTTAGTTGTTAAGGCTTTTAATTTTGAAAAATTCTGTTATTTTTGTAATTTTCGGAGGCTTGTAATTCTCTGTTAAATATTATTTCTGTTGTGTTTTTTTTTCCTGATGCTGAATAATGGATAACTTGGACTTCTTGATCATTTGAAGCGGAATTTAAACGATGGGTGGTCTCTGACTTTTGTACAATACAGTATTTGCCCTGTTTTCAGTTCAAATTCCTCCCATTGATTTTCTGTTATTTACTTCATTGTTAAGCTTGACTAACCTTGACCTTACCCATGCACTGTAGCACTTGTAGTTTTGTTATGAATGGAAAGTGAAATACATGTTGCCTCATGCTGTCTCCTACTTGGTCCCTAGGGCTACGCCCAAAGAGAACACTCAGGACAGTGCTGTGGTCTGCTGAGGAAGCAGGGGGAGTGGGAGCTGCACAGTACTACGAACAACACAAAGTAGATACCTTTCACCTCTTGATATAATGAGTGTATTATTAGTATGATGCATGTGATGCATGTGCTGTTCTGTTGATCTGTCTGCTTCCCAACACAATCTCATTTTCTCACTTTCACTCTCTCACACACACATACACTCACACACATTTTCATTTAAAGTGGCATTCTTCCATTGAGATTTGTTTCTTTCTTGGTCTCTTCTGATGTAGGATGAAACACATTACTGTCCAGAATTGATCAGATCCAAGGTTTATGTAGTTATATATTCTTGCATGGAATGATTTAGCATACAGTTGGAATTGAGACTGCGTGGTAACTCTATACTGCTGTGAAGATTTTGTGGAGTTACTGTTGGATTTTGACTCTAGAGGATAATCAGAAATGGCAGTAGCGAAGGGGCCAACCAAAGTTCAAATACTGCATTTGGTCGGTAAGGCAACTGTTTTACTGTACTCCATCTAAATACATGGAGGATGGATTGAATTTAACTTGGTTTGAACTGCAAAGTGGACTATTGAAAATCAATCCAACCTCTTTCTTGTCTGCAAGTCTTAAAGAGTAACTGACAGATATATTATTAAATCTGAATAATAAGATCTTATTCCAGCCCGAGGAGACCATGTCTATCCTCTATCCTGAAGATGAGGTTTTTTTTTTTTTAAAGGATGCTTTTCATAAAGGTTGTGTTCCATTATAGATGTATTAAAGTTACAGCCATCTTTCTTTATGAATTGTGATGTGTGAGCTTGAGCTGCCAACCAAACCCCAGTTTCCCCAAAACAGTGTTCTGCGTGAACTTTAAGAGTGTACATTGTGAAAGTGAGACTGAAGGATTGAGATACACTATATGGCAAAAAGTATGGGAACAGCTGACCGTTACACCTATATGAGATTGCTGGGCATCCTCTTCTGGGAAGGCTTTCCACAAAATTTTGCAGTGTGTCTGTGGGAATTTATGCCCATTCAGTCAAAAGAACATTTGTGAGGTTGGACGAGAAGGTCCGGCTCACAGTCAGCATTCCAGTTTATCCCAAAGGTTTCCAGTGGGGTTAAGGTCAGGGCTCTGTGCAGGCCACTGAAGTTCGTCCACACCAAATTTTATCAAACCATGTCTTTTATGTACCTCACTTTGTGCACAGGGCACAGTCATGCTGGAATGGGAAAGGGCCTTCCCCAAACTGTTGCCACAAAGTTAGAATAATATAATTGTGTAAAATGTCTTTGTATGCTGTAGCTTTAACATGACCCTTCACTGGAACTAAGGGGCCTAATCTAAACCCTGAAAAACAGACTCAGACCATTATCCCTCCTCCACCAAACTTTACTGTTGGCACTATGCATTCCATTATGTACTGTTCTTCTGGCATCTACCAAGCACAGATTCGTCCATCAGACTGCCAGATAGTGATGTGTGATTATCACTCCAGAGAACAAGTTTTCACTATTCCAGAGTCCAGCGGCACCACTCCAGCCAACCCTTGGCATTGCGTGTAGTGACCTTAGGCTTGTGTGCAGCTGCTCAGCAATGGAAGCCCATTTCATGAAACTCCCGACACTCAGTCCTAGTGCTGATTTTGGTTTCAGAGGCAGTTTGGAACTCTGTAGTGAATGATGCAACAGAACGGGCGATTTGTATGTGCTTTGTGCCTCAACACACAGCATTACTTCTCTGGTCTACTGCTTCGTGGCTCAGAGGTTGTTCTGGCTTGTGGCAAAGGGGGGCATACTATGCTAGTGCACTTTAAGTCACTGATCTCTTCAGGATGACCCACTCTACTGCCGATGTTTGTTTATGGAGATTGCAGGGCTATGTGTTTGATTTTATACGTCTGTTAGCAATAGGTGTATCTGAAATACTCAAACTCAATGTCCAAATACTTTTGGCCATAGAATGTGTCCATATGAAACAAAATCTCATGCATTATTTGAAATGCATGGATATTTTCTTGGACATGCCATAGAAAGCCAGAAAAAGTGTGGGCTTTTTCTGCTGGCTTGTGATTATTTGTGTGCTATACCTATGATAAAAAGTGAACTTCATGTTGGCTGCCAAACTAATTTTCTTAATTCTTTAAGCTTTTGAGAACAAAAATTCTGTCAATTCTGTTTACATCAGTGCTGTTCACTTCCATCAGGGGGAACATAACACAATTCATTATCAACCCCCTCGATGACTGAATCAGGTGAGTTAGAACAGGGGAAAAAACACTAAACCTGTCTGTGCTGTTCTGTGCCTATACAGGGCTCAGTGTGGAGCATACCGCCGTAAATTATAACACACTCCAGTGCATTTCTTCACTATGTCTTTCCAATAGACCATTTTGAAGGTTGTTTTTTATTCACTGCCAAAGAATAGACATTGCAGTATTTAAAAACCTACAAGCACCTGATTCAGTGATTGACACCTCGCATGACCAGCATCAAAAGTGAAATCCTAGAATGTCATAATTTTTTTCTTCCCTCTACAGGGAAACATTTCAAACTTTGACCTGGTGATGGAGTCAGATCTGGGCACATTTGCACCCATGGGCCTACAGTTCACTGGCAGTGACAAAGCTAGGGCTATCATGAAGGAAGTAATGAAACTGCTGACATCAATCAATGTCACATCTCTGGAGGAGCATGGAGAAGGAACTGACATTAACATGTGGATGAAATCTGGTGTACCAGGTCAGTTTAAATGACAGGTTCTCTTTACTAAATCTGATTTGGTATGAGCAAGACAAAGTTTTTGCTAAAATCAGCAATGTGGGCAGAACTTGACATGAACAATTGTGTGTGCAGACGTCTGTCTAGCTTTTGGCCTGTTTTGTGTTTAAGATCATGTTAGTCTGTTTAAATTCATTTTGAGTTCTTCTCTCAGCAGACGTCAGTGTCAAAGGCAGTGATACACTGTTGATATTGCACTGACTTCATGATTTGTGGCATCTCCTTACTGCATCTAGACTGTTAGTGGGTTTCACTCAATGTTTCATCTGAATATACAACAGAATTAAGCTTAGCACATCAGGGACTAGAATTTCATTATCTCTAATGATCCCTGTGTTATACTGATACTGACGGTTCATTAGTGTGTTCATTTATTTCACCTTTTGTCAGTCACACAGCAGTTTGTCACTGAGCACAGTACACTGTAACTGCATGTTTGCATCTAGAAGCTAAAGTCTTTTAAACCATTAATAGTTTGTACATGCTTTCTGAGTAAGGCCTCAGTAGCATACTTTACCTTCTGTCCAAGAATAAGAGCTTTAAAGTAATGAACTGCAGTTTGTATCCAGGTTAGCAGAAAGTCTCTCTCTTGTAAATGTCACTTACTTGGAGCCAGTCAACCTTGCATGCATCTCATCTTCCACACAGGCAATTTCATTTGTGCATTGAAGCTATTGTGCTTTGCTTGCTCAGGCCTTGAGGGACCTGCACCAGTGGCAGTCTGACTGAAAAAGTGACATTAATTGTTTAATTTCAAGCAAATATCCATGAAATTAGCACTATATCTTACTTCAGATACTTAGCTAGAGAGAGGAAAGCTCAGATACGTGCCACTGCAGGGACAGGGTTGGACAGACACAATGAAGTGCCTCTATTAGAGCTCTGAGGAATTCACACCCACCAGACAGACCCGCTTTTAATAGCAGCATCAGTGCTCATTTCTGTCATTATCCAAGTTACTGCTTGACTTTTGAGTCATCTTTTAGATTTAAAATTCTGCGCCAAAGAGTGTTAACGAAGAATGGCCACCAAAGAATGTTAAATCTATACTGATGATTTTGGCTACTACTGAACTGTGGCAACTGCAGGGGTGGAAAATATTTAAATGATTGTACTTCATTATACTAACAAGTATTATTTTGAAAGATTTGTACTGCATTAGTAAAATTGATTTTTGTGTACTCCTACTTAGTTAAATTTCCGAGAAAGAAAGAAAAAAGCATAGATTTTACCCCTTATGTTTTCATTTAGACCTCCAAAGTACTTGTACACTGCAAAGTACACTGCAAAATGAAGCTGCCTATAACTATGCTAATTTATCTTTGTGCAAAAAAACAGTACTACTCATTAGTCACAGCACCACACACAGAGTTTGAAGGGTTTAAGGCAAGGCAGATTCTCTAGTCAGTGTTATACAGAGTATGACCAGCTTGTTCACAGTGTTGAGACTAACTCTAATTAATTTTATGTGTTAAACATTTACGTATTAATTTTATATAGTTTCCACCAAATATATTTTTGGCTCCATACATCCATTTTTAATTGAGAATGAGTGCTTTTTTTACCCCAGTTACACAAGCTTTAACTGTTTTTCTGCTGTACAAAATATTTTTTCACCAATATCAGATAGATTTGCAGTGACATCACCTGAGGATTATGGAAAATGTGAAGCATACAGGGAGACTAGGGAAATGTATAGAGAATTTGACTGCTCCGCTGTGAGTCAAAGCCAACATGTTAAACAAATGAGTCATACACAGATGCACAGCTGTCCAAACATCTACAGCTACACAGAACAACTGCAATGAGATGATTTTCATTGCAGTTGTGGAGAATTTGAGGTGTGCTCTTGTAATCTTGAGTTGTTCTGTAGTGTTCTTCCTTCAGTGGACTGGTGTTGGTAATGCTCTTTTCCTCTCTTTAACTCTGCGTAATGTGCAAAGCCAGTTTGGACTTAATTTGATGTGTAAAGGGTTTTTGGATAAAAAAATGAAGTAATTGCTTTATCTCCACACCTACACAAGTACATTTGCAGTTAATGAGTATTAACTTAATTTACGCCAAAGCTTTAACATTTAAAGATTCTGGGCAGTTAGGGTATCTACGCAGCTCTGTAGAGTGTCAGAGTAGAATTAAAAGAAGACTCAGCAAACAGCCTCCTATTGTAAAGGCTAAGCAAGACTTTGTTGCTTCTGTTTCTTGAAGAATAGTTGAGGGTTCTGGATGGAGCTATTCCCATCTGGAAACAGTAGAGAAACTGGAGAACTATTTAACTGTAAACACATGCGCTTGACTCCTATGTTCCCAGTTCCCATTCATCCTAGAAACAGAGTCTGCTGAGTGTAGAGTGGAAAATGTTCCTCAAATGTTTCTTCTGATACTGATATCAGGACTATTATTTGTAGGCAACCGCATTATATGTTTAACTTGTGACTGGGCTGACCACCCTTTCATCAGCATATACATATTACGGCAGTGGCGATCTTTTAACGTTCTGGTCCAAAACATAAACAATAAAAAAGTATGAGAGAATAGGAATTGTATGCTCCACAGAATGAATGCAGATACTGTGAAATAATTACTCAGGCAAAAGTACCTTTTCCAAAACAGAAGTATAAAGATAGAAGTGCAAACTACTAGGTTAAAAAACTACTTGGGTACTGATTAACTTGTAGAACTGCAGAAAAAATGTAAACAAACGTATTATAAATGAAAATACTCAAAGTACAAGCCCATTCAAATTTTGCTTGTGTGTGCGTAGCTGAGTAACTGTACGAGCTACTAGGGCTGCACCGATATGGGAATTGTGTGACGATGCTGATATCCAGTATTTTTCATGTTTCTCGCAATGCCAATATATAAACATTTATAAAATGCAGCATTTGGGACCCCATCTACCTGCATTAGCGTTACAGAGAAATATAAAATTTCTTCTGGATACAAATACAGTGAAATGAATAAAATTCCAATATCTTAGAGTGGTGTACTGTCACCTAAACATTCTGCTCTTGCAGAGTACAGTAAATACACCATCATCAGATAGTGGTTTGAAATATCAGTCAAATCTAAACTGCTGTCTGATATCAATATAATTTTTATCTGTCGATACTAATAAGATACCATTGTGCGTCCCTACCAGTGAAAGATTGTCTGTTATAAGTGGGATTCAGTCCAGTGACTTACAAATACTACAAATACAAATATTGATCTCTTGCCAAAGTAATTATTGTAGCTGTCAAGTCTAGTGGTTTACCCATGAGGCTCTCATTTTTTGATTTTTGCAATGATCTCATGGCCTTGAATATAAATCTCACGTTTTCACACTCTTACAAATAAAAGTAAAACTCTGGTATGCTATGCAGTTCCGTCACAGGAATAGCAGTAGGGGTTTTGATTTTTACCAAAGTCTACAGGTGATTTATCACCTTTTTCCCTATAGCTATGAGGTCGTCATTGACAGTTGAGAATTATATTGATATAAAAGGTATAGAAGGTTTTAGAGGTACTGTAGAAGTATATTGCACAAAGTCTGTTTTTCTGCAAGAGTTTTACTGTGTGCATAATAGGAAACACTTCACACTGCTCTCTGCGCTGCCTTTTAAAAATTGGTTCCTGATATGCATGATTAACCATATATTTCAACCTCTGTTTCCCATGCCAGGTGCTAGCCTGCATACAGCAGACAGCAAGTACTTCTGGTTCCACCACACTCAAGGTGACACAATGACAGTCCAGGACCCAGCAGAGATGAACTTGTGCTCAGCTGTGTGGGCTGTGGTGGCTTATGTTGTGGCAGACCTTGATGAGATGCTCCCCAGATAGCACACTGTTTCCAGATCTATACCAGACCCACCCCAACAGCCTCAATATAGAGTCTGATTGGAGAGAGTTTGATCAACGTAGGCCAATGTGTTGAGAAACTGCAGTAAATTTCAACAAATATTCATCAGGCATTTACCACTATTCAGTCTGAGATTTATTGTAACTTTCTACTAGACAAATTGCAACCATCATACTGTAATATACTGTATTTGTGAATTAAGCTTATAAATAATGTATAAATAATGTTAGTGTGTTAAATCTTTGTTCACTCATGAACCTCACCAGTCAGCAACCTTCTTCATTTATTGTGCTGTGTTTCAGTATTTTCTCTGGGCTGTACTATATTTGTAGTGACACAGCATTAACTGAATAAAGTTTAGTCTAAGTTCATGAAAGCATCGGAGCCCAAAGATCATCGTGAAATGTTTATGCAACTATAACTTTGTACATTCTTAACATTCTAAACACATGATCTAAACACTAATGCTGAGAGGCTTCACAACCAGTGATACACTTCCTTTTCTCTGAAAACAGAAGTAGATGTGTAAGATTGTATTCACACTGGGCTGTATAGAAAAAGTGCTGCCTGAAGTATTTCTTGTGCTCATAAGAAAAAGGAAATTATAGCCATGACGATACTGTTTCCACCAAATTCTGCCTTGTATGCAGTTGTACCAGCTGTGAGGGTAGAGTGAACGTTGTTGGTGTGTTGCTCAGTGTCATCACAGCAACAACCATTAGTGGTTATTGGCTGACGTCTCCTTATTTATGTTAAAGGCTAGGTTGACAGGAATGAATGAAATGAACAAATTCAATCCTTGAATTAAATCACACTGTCTGATTTGCCCTTCTGTCTGTCTAGCTAGCCAACCACTGACAATACACAAAACAGCATGCTATTATACTATACATATTATACAGATAGATGAATGGACTTGTAATAGTGGCATAGTAGTTTTGATGTACCAATTAGTGTGGCAGTACATGGTTTTGGACACAGCATATGTGTTACTGAAATGTCTACCGAACAGCAGAAACTATGTTGTGACAGTGAATTGTAATTTTGTGCTTTTGTACCTTTCTACCAGATAGGTGCTGTAGTCCTTCATTACCCAACATGCAACATTCCACACTTAATACTGTGTGTTTATGTTTTCGATTCAGTTTATTTCTTTAGCTCTTTTTAACAATTTTAACAATGCAGGCCCCTGATGAGCAAGCTGAGGCCAAGAGTGGCAGGGAAAACCCTGAGAGGAACCAAAACTTACTTTCTTCTTTCAAACCCCTCTTTGTTTCTCTGGACTGCACTGGGTACGCAGTAAACCCTGATACATTCAGTTTACTCAAAACTTGGTGGTTTTTAAGTAAAAGTAAAAACTAGCATACCTTCTAGCATCTATCACATAGACTATATAAACATTTTCTCATTATCTGTATTTTGTTGATTTTCAAATATGTAATGATCACAATTTCAGACATAAAGGAAAGCTGTTTCAGTAAGAGTTTTCAGAGTGATGTGCTCTCATGACTGCCTTAAAACAGCCTTTATTGTAGTTTTGTTCCCTTTACAGTTAGATAGTTGTTGTCACTGTGCTTTTAATACTGATATATGTAAGTGACCTCTGTTCTGCCCTGTGATGTGCCTCTTTCAAAAAGCAGTTCAGACTGAAACACTGAACTTCAATGTAAATGGGTGGGACTAAACTGCTGTAGGACATATGTAAATGTGTTGATTTTTGTGACATCGTAAAAACAGTACATTCAAACTAGGCTGTTTTGCAGCTCAGTTTACATAAATAGATTAAATCAATTGGAAAATTAAAGCTTGTTTTAAAAAAATTGTGATTACATATTACATCAAAAGCTTTAATGTGACAAAATTGAGGATTTTTTTGGTGATATGAGTCCTGTTAAAAGACCGCTCTGTTGGCAGTAACAACCATATAAACTGACTATCAAACAGACACAAAAAATGGTTAAACAAATTTAGAATAACTGAAACATGTAAAGTGCGTCCAAAATTATGTAGAACCTGTATATAACATTAAAATGTTTTTGTTGAAAGCACCCCTACCCCATGCTTTTTTTTTTTTTGTTCAGTTTGCTCTGTTCACAAAAACAATACACTTGAATTTTCAAACAAACAGTTAAAACAACCAGCCTCAATTTACTGATAACAACTAGTTGTGAGAGAGTAAGTAATTATAACTTGAGTATTGAGTCCAAATAATGTCGGGGGTTCAGTGAAATGCAATTAAGTTGTTCGTAACATTTAGCTTAAAATGGGGTAAATTCTGAACAGTACTGATTTGCAACTAAACCTGTGGGATCCTATTTGTATGACCACTTAGATGGTTCATAGTTTAGACTGCCCATTTTGAAGTAAATTAGTATTCCCACAACACTTATGTGTCCCCCAGTCTACCTCTGAATAAAGGTGTCTTCAATCAATGCTTAACAGAGTTAGCCAGATGCCACATAACATGACTGCTTGAGGAGTTTCAGCTGCTTTTTCACTGACCAGCTGAACTTGAGGGGGCTGTCGAAGTTGACTTAGATATCAATCCTTAGAGGCAGTCATCACTGGTGATTAATGAAAGCATGTAGTACTTTGATAATACTCCTCACTCGTAGCTCAGAGAAACAAGAGGAGAAATTCTGTTGCACTAATATCCTTAGTAAGTAGAAGAGGAGATGATAGTTTGAATATGACAAGTGTGCTTACAGCCTTGTTTTACAGAAAGAAAAAAACCTTGCTTTACGTTTTTGCCTTTTTATTTTTCTGCTATTGAAACAAACTCAAAAATGCAGACTCAAACCTGTTGATAGAGTGTAAAACATATAAATACAGTTATGTAACTTGATGTAATTACATATAAATAATTATCTAATGTAAAGAAAACGTATTGCAAAATGACTAACTGTATACTACATAGTCGTCACTGGATTATATACCATTCAGACCATTAATTATTAATGAGCCATCAATTCAAATAATGCTTAGCTTTGATCAAAATGTGAACCTGTTAATATTTCATTGTTGTGCTTTCATTGTTGTGCTAGACTGATCTAGTACACCCTTGGCTAAAGGTGATAATCACTATAACTGCTCTGATGCAAAAGTCATTAATGCTACAGGATGTTTCTGCTTATACTAAACAGAGGTTGCAGGTCTGATGAACATGTTAGTGCACCAATTATGGAAGTCTCATTTAAAGTATGGTGTGATTTTTCACACCTTTTCTTGGAGGATTGCCTTGTTTCTTTTTATATGGAAATTTTGTATTTCAGTCTTTTGTGGCTCACCCATGTCCTAACTAGACCTCTAACTCTTTTCTTGTCTCAGACTTGCCCACATGATGAGAATAGTAGTAAAATGAGAGCTTCAACACCTCAGTGCTGGCTATTGCCAAATAGAAGAGAGTCACTCAGATGAAACGGGAATAGACAGCTGGAAGCTTTTAACCCCCCTTGTGTATGTTAGTGAGAGTGAGATGGAGGCTCGTGAGGGCACTGGAGAGGGCGGCTTGTGGAAACAAGAGGCAGCCGTTCTCTCTTAGAGCCTTCTGTTTGCCCTGCTCCGCTCTGCTAGCTCATGCTTTTTCCTAACAGGACCATGTCCTGTTGACATTCCCAGCCAACCCAAATGTGGAAAAGCATGGAGGTACTTTCAGCTTTCAGTCACTAATAGATTGCATTCTAATCTTAAAAGCATTGTATGAATGGATGGCTTTGAAATCCAGTAATGCTGTAATTATGACGTGACTGGTTGCGGTACATGAGAAAGAACAAAGAAAGAGTCGTTGTGCCAGTAGTGCATTGATCATGCAGAACTTGTGTGTTTGCAAAAGTTTACTGCTTCCCCTAGCAGTGATAGAAAAGGCCACACAACCTCAGTGAAAGTGAGCGCGAAGCTACCTTACAACAAACAGGTAAATATAAGTTTCTAGAAGGTCTATCTTGTGCACTTCAGTTGACCTTAATGCAAAGTTATAATGCACACTGTAGAAAAGCCTCTTTGAATGTCAGTAGAGTCACCTTCCTTTACATGTATTTGTTGAGCATATAGCCCATCTATCATGTGTAGTTTTTATAGAGCCCATGTTACATCATTTTTTCAGCCAGCTACATAGTATATCAGGCCATCTTTATTCAAACACGATAAATATGTCAGACTGCCTTCATAAGCAGAGGAGACCTAGAACACAGCCTACTGAAGGTGGTGGAGATATAAAAGTAGGAAAAGTTGAAGGATGTCCCTTGGAGTGACTCTTTTTTCAGCACTACCCTCGATATCACTGTGTACTGAGTTCAGTCATTCTCACCGATTCCTAGATGTTCTTGGGAGAATTGCATCTTTTGCAGAAAAAATAAAGTGTGCAATGGACAGGTTTCTTTAATACTGTAGATGTGAATTGGACATTAAAGCATACAGTTTTAATTCCAGAAGAAAATAATAAACAACTCTCTGCTGCTCTTTTCTTGACTCCTTGTTCAAAGTGACATTAAACTACAAAAACATTCCTGGTAGTTTGGAAATATGATTTAAAGTAGTTAAAAGTTGTGAAATCTCTGTGAGGAGGTAGCTGTCTTAGGGCCAAGTGGTCAGCAGTGCCTTCCAGAGTTTCTTGGCATTCTTTGCAGCAAACTGGAGACATCTACTTGGCTTTGACTGCTAGTGATCATATAATTTGTTACTTCAGATCTGCTCGCAGTCCATTTCACCAGTTACTGTGTTTGGATTTACAGCCATTTTTTTCACAATCTTATCAAACAACCTCATGAAAAGCTCATATTAGTATTTTATTAAGCATATTACGGTTGTGTCCCATTTATCTTATGTAAAATTCTCAATTATTAAGGTCCTACACGGTCATTCAGTTTGACACAAATGTGTGGGGAAAAAAAAAAAATCCCTCAAGGCGGACGTAAATACCAGCATAAAATCTTTAACGCTCACTTCAACAAAACAAGAAGGGTTTTGAGGGAGCAAACATGAATTAAACACTTCAAAGGCCCTACTAGAGAAAACATGGACTGGATTATGTTTCCTCTCTTTCTGTTGTTGTGGCTGTGGATCTTGCCATAACATTTTCTCTGCAAGGCTCTGGCTTTAAGTTATCTTCAGCTTTAATGTTTTGAAATGGTAGAGTGCAAAATGGGAAACAAAAAGGGTCAGCACAGAGATGAAATGTGTAAATGTCGTAGATCAAAAGCACCACGTAATTCTCCTAGCTTAAACAGTGGACGTGGGGCAGCGTCAGAGTCCATTCAGAGCAAATGAAGAACATGAAAGAGCCGTCTAAAGCTGAAAGAAGCAGAATGAATAGAGATCAAATCCTCTGTTTCAACTTCAATGGAGTCAAGAGTCAGAAGGCACCAATGGTTTAGACTCTGTAAAAAACCCAGATTAGCTGACTCAATGATTATTGTCAGATTTTCAGGGCAGAAAAAAGAAGATTAAAGAAGCTTTTATTGTAGAAGACATTTGTGGTTCTCCACACTTGCCCATAGACTTTGTATCCCTTTACTCTCGCTTATTTAATTTTTTGAAATTCTCATAATACTCAAAACTGCAATACAGAAATCCTGGCTTAAGTCCTTGGTGTCCACCTTTTTATTGAAATCAAAGTTTCAGTGTGCACAAACTCTACTGATCTGGTAAGCATTTACACAGTGTTTTCTTGTTATCAGTCTCATGATCACAATTCCAGGAGGTTTTTTGCCGTTTAAAATATCTGACATTCAGCTTATTTTACATGGACAACACAAAGGTTTTTAGGACATCGCGATGCATTTTTGTCCTCCAGCTTTATGGGTGAGAAACATTTGCTGCACAAGAAAATGTGATACTATCTGTTTTTCCAAGATTGTGGAGGGAAAGGCTTGACCACTGAAATGCAGCATGTGGTGATGCAACCCACTGCAATGGTGAAGTGATTGTATTGCTGTCAGCTATAGAACTATATTGTCCTGTATTCCTTTATAGTGTGGCCTTTACAAAAGAACTGAACGCTGAGGTGTGTAGCTTTAAAACAAGATCTGTAGAATGAATTCATTTTCAGTATTTGTGTTGACAGTGTTTAGCAGGTTGAATAGTGAAGTGCCTGCTTTTTTTGTTAGTACTTTAACTTTCTCCTTGCAGAATTTTCATCTCACAGCAGGATGCGGTGCTGAGAGCCTGGAAGCTGCAGCACCCATCCAGTACGCTTCCTTATCTACAGGATTTCAGGTATGTCAGCATTTTTCTGACGCTTATAAGTCAGGCTATGGTAATGTCTGAATGTTAAAGATTGCTGTGCATGTGTGTGTTCACACGCGTTTCATATGAGTCAGGGCCATGTGATGATGATGGGAAAAGCGTGAGAGTATCCTGCCATCACAATATTTTCCCATTCCTCCAACTCCCACATACACTGGGAGCAGCTCTTTGGGGTTGGGTCAACCTTTGGCTTATTTGGACTTTTTTTTAACACAGTTAAAATGCCGACCACCAAGGC